CAGAGATTAAACTAGTTACATGTCCTTATATTTCCAATACATTTGGCGTGGTTTGATGGACATTGATGTCTCTATATGGTCATGAAAGAACATAATGACACCCAACTCATTGATTTGGCTCTGTTTTTGTCAAAGTATTGCAAACGTCTAGGTGCCAATTTTATCTCATATGTGCCAAAAGTGCGTAAAACATTTGAAATGTACAATTTCCTATTAATTTTGTACCTGGAACTTTAAGGGAATGTTTCATTTCTAACGTTTGGTATTAGGTTTGAAATTATAAACAGTTCAACTTATTCCAGATGGTATGTACATGTAAATGTCATTAATTTGGTTCACCTTGAAGATCCGGGGTAGAATAGGTCTTCAGAAACCCATGCTTGCCGTAAAAGCGACTATGCTTGTCGTAAAAGGCGACTAACGGGATCGAGTGGTCAGGCTCGCTGACTTGGTTGATGCATGTCATCGTATCCCAATTGCGTGGATCGATGCTCATGATATTAATCACTGGATTGTCTGGTCCAGACTCGATTATTTACAGACCGCCGCCATATAGCTGGAATATTGCTGAGTGCGGCGTTAAACAACAAACAAACCAACAAACAACCCATGCTTGAAGACTGGTAAAGACTCGAATATTTACAGGCTGCCGCCAGCTACTTTTGTTTGATTGTTTGTTTGTTTGTTGTTTAGCGCTGCTCTCGGCAATATTCCAGCTATATGACAGCGGTCTGTAAATAATCGCATCTTGATCGATCCGCATCGATCCACACAATTGGGATACGATGACATGCATCGAACCAAGTCAGCAAGTCCGACCACCCGATCCCGTTAGTTGCCTCTTACGACACGCATAGTCGCCTTTTACGGCAAGCATGGGTTGCTGAAGACCTATATATTCTACAAACAAACCAAACAAAAGAGTTAATAAAACGGATGATCCCTTCAGGAGCTAGTAATAAATAAAGGAATCATAGGCGCTGAGTTTATCCCAACCACGACGGTCCAAGAGAAGCGAAGGGTGAAATACGCTCCTTGTAAAACCATACGCACTTCACGAATCAGAGGCCGATCCTTTGATATTACTGAAAAAAATAGTTCTGCTTCTTTCAAAGAAAACATTTCTTGAGCAATGATCGAAATCAATAATGTATCCAACAACAACAAAAACTCTCTTCAACGAAATGACAATGAGAAACAATTCCAGTAACGTGTTATTAAATGTGACGAGAGAATTCTTCATCGCTCACCCAGTGGCCTTATTTGGTTGTAAATTCCAGCTGTATGCTTTCAAATAAACTCATAATCAGCCTCAGGGGAATCGCGGGGTTCAAGCATATATAATACATTCATCACAGCACAATAGCATCGATAATAGAGTTCCGGCTGATGGATGCTCTATGGACGTGCAGTGGCCATACTGTGAACACGTGTTTGTAGCTGGCTATGTTCCCGAGCACCTTGGTTCACTTGCACCAAGCGCTCGTATTGCTCTGTTGAAGAATCGGACATGACTCTAAGCACTGAGATTACTAAATGCAAGTAGAAAAAAAAGGTGAATCATACATAGCACAAAATACCAAAATTCTTCAGGGCTTATACAGTCATAACGCAGGTGCATGTTACCGTCAAAATGAGTTTTAAGTAACAGCGTTAATGTAATCCTAGCCGGAAGGAGAATCCCCACGAGGTGCCTCAACAATCAGATATTACATCTAATAAGAGTATTAGTTTCACGTCGGCATAGAAACATCGATCCATTGCTAAAGTGAAATTAAGCTTCACAATTTGTTAATAGGAGTGTTTGAAGTATTTAAAAGATCATTTGCACGCTGATAATCTTTGATGACTTAAGTAGTGTCACAAATAGAAAGACAATAGCTTTGTCCGCTATTTCATCAATATAATTAAACTTTCGCTGTAAAAAAAAGAAGAAATGTCTCCTCAGTTCTCAGAATCATTGGAACAATGTGGCAGTGTTGCTGCATCCCCCAAAAGCTCCACGTGATGCGGGTATTAGACGTTTACCACTTTGGTGAGATCCACGAGCACGGGTATGGTGCTGACAAAACCTTGAAATATAATCAGGGAATAATAGCTTCAGTCGCCCCGAGAAACCAAACGTTGACTTGACATTGCGGAGTAACTAAACTATTTTACAATAACATAACCGGAGGGATGGGTGTCACAGTTTCTATATGTATTCCTCAGTATGTCGATCAATACGTCTACAGTTTCGCCTGTGGGACCCTTAAGTCAAGGAATATACGGCTAGAAAGATAATCAGAACAGACGCACGGGCAGACACTACTTTACATATTCCAAGTCCGGGCCAATGAAATAGAATCCAGGTTGATGTCCAACACTGAATATGCCAACATGCTATATCAGTTGTCTATCTATGTGTATATCGCCCTCATAATTTCGGGTTCAGAATTGCAACCTAGATTCTATATCACTGTGATGGTAGATATAGAGGATATTCCATATGTCGAGTGAAATATCATGTTTCTATCATCGTGTTAAGGGGCGAAAAGGAGATATTTTCACGAGTAGCGTAACCAGGGGTGAAAATATCTCCATGAGATGATATTTCACTCGACACATGGAATATCCAATTTATTATATACTTTTTGTGTCGTTGTCTACCGGAAATTTTATTATTTCATTACAAATGTAAAACCTTGAAACGTAAATTATCCATACCTTACACACAGTGACGGTTCACCACCCCTTGTATTTGTGTAATGTATTTGTAGTTTCGCGTTTGCAAAATCTTAAAAAATATATAAACAAGGGTAAGAAAAATTATTTAGGGGCGCCAAAATTATGTATCATACATATAGATATGAGTATATACAAAATCAACTTTAAACAAAAATATTCTTGAAAACTACCAACCGCTGTTGGAAGCGAAAGAATACACGTAAATAATTAAGCCACGCCCACCGAGGCGCATCACTTTTATTACTGCGAAATGTGGGGAATCCCAATATTACAGTTGAGGGAATTCCCTTTCTGCTCACGTGTATCGTCATGCACAGGACTCATACAGTTTGCACATCGGTTTTTCGATTCATACCTCAATGAACCGAAAAAAATACACAGTCAATCCTTAAATAACCATTCTTGTTTGTTTCATTTTTAGCCACAGTAAAACATAAGGGTGTGTTCTTTAACCGAACAGTTTATGACCCAAGAGACCCGTGAAGATCCGGGGTCTTCAGGAACCCATGCTTGCCGTAAAAGGTGACTATGCTTGTCGTACGAGGCCACTAACGGGATCGGGTGGTTAGGCTCGCTGACTTGGTTGATGCATGTCATCGTATCCCAATTGCGTGGATCGATGGCCATGATATCAATCACTGGATTGTCCGATCCAGATTCGATTATTTAAAGACCGCCGTCATATAGCGGGAATATTGCTGAGTGCGGCGTTAAACAACAAACAATATGACCAAAGATGATTTAACCACATATGTTTGTATTGTCCTCATCATAAGGAAATCAACATGGATCTTAATCTTTAATACTCCCTGAAATCCGTAACATCAGATTTGTTTCCACATTCTGAAATTTGGTTTAACGTTATTGCTCTTATATAGCGTGTATGTGTGTGTGTGTGTGTGTGTGTGTGTGTGTGTGTGTGTGTGTGTGTGTGTGTGAAGCTGCTTGTACTAGTCCGGTCTGATGCCGATTTATACTGCCAGCTCACTTAGATACCATGCTGCAGTTTAACATGAATACCCCACTCAGACACAGTATACTGACTCCGAGCCGACCAGTCCTTGGTTAAGCCTCGTAATGTACCAATATTCAATCTCGTAATGCCGAGCGCCAGACAGGGTAACAACAAGTACCATCATTTAACGTCTTTTGGTATGACGCGTTAGGGAATCGAACCCCGGACCTTCCGCTCTGCAAGCGGACGCTCTTCCACTAGACCACGGAGGCGGTCAGCAATTTCTGAAAGGTTTGCTAGTTATATTTCATCATATACCATGCAGATTAAACTGGCCGAAAAGGGTGCATCCATACCTGCTAGTATATTTTCTAAATATTGAACCTGGTAATATAAGGCGTTATCGTTTAAATGTCAGACCACACCACCGTAAATGTATCAGGCAGAACAGATTGGATGATTCATTATTGATATTCTAATATTCAAGCAATCACAGTTGGACACCAGAAACAGGCTTCACGCTTTGTACCAGTATGGGGAAACGAACCCGGGTCTTCGGCTTGACAAGTAACGCTGTACCCACTTGTCTACCTCACCACTTCCAAGTAGAATAAAATAAAGACTGATTGGCATTAGTTGACTGAGTCATACTGTTCCCTATTATCAGATCAATGTGTTTACTAACAAACTGTTTACAACACAATACCTCACTGGCGTTGATCAAACGGAACCGCTTAATTTTGTTAATGGTTCTGTAGATCATTGCTCTATTATATGCATGAACTTGAAACTAGACGGACTAATGATTAGTCTTAAAGGTTGTCAGTGACAAACAGTTTGAAGTTATCAAAACAAACAAATTTATTGACAAAACTGTTTTGAGTTCAATGACCGGTGGTAGACGAAGGAGGGCAGTTGAAAAGACCTCGGGCTTCTGCAAATGATAATGCCTTGAAAAAGAGCGTTACCCTTATATCAATATGACATTTGGTTATCTCGGGCAAGTGAAAATACCACTTCATCTGAAATTGAACTGAGCCAAACTTTGGATGATTTTGAAACTTTACAAAATCTAAAACCATCGACCTCAAAAGATAATGATCGTTTTGCATGTGGTACTTCAGCAGACCCAGTTAAAATCAGGATCAGTATAAAGTAGGGTTTTAACATTTTGACAGAATGAACAACACGCACAAATGGAAACTTGTATGTTCATTAACCTACATGTCCGTACCACTTGATTTTTGGTAACTTTGGCGGAAGAATTAAACCATTGGCCACAGACTTTCTACGTAGAAAGAACTTGGCGTTACAGCACTTTATCAGCATATAAATGTACTCCACGTAATCGAAATAGCGACCATCCGCACGGGCTGTTGATCATACAGAACACTGGCGTCAAAGATTATATTTATTCAAGTGTAGTATTTCATGAATAACATGCTCAAAAGTGACGGTGACTCTACGGTTGATACATTGCTGATGCACGGTTAACGGGTCACTTTTTTCTTCTTTTTTTTATTGTTCCCAGAGTTGGAGAGTTAACGGGTCACTTACTCACGCATTCAGTTGTACAAGCCTACTGTATATGAGTATAAAAAGGGGACACAGTTTATGGATAATATTCTTCTTTATTCAATTGTTGTATTTTTCAGTTATCCATAAATTGTGTCCACTCTGTCTTCCGTCAACTTCTAAGAAATGTCTATCAAACAAGTCATGCATATGGATGTAGGGTAGTACAGTAGACTTCCGCTCTCCACACGTGAAAGAGCAACTTTAATGACATTTGGGTAAGCATAGCTTCGAAATAAAGGAAGTATATACAATGACACCTCGGTAACTCGAAATGCTGGGGCCGTCGGAAATGTATCGAGTTATCCGTAGATCGAGACAAAACGATTGCCGATATAAAAAAAAAGTGCCGAAAAAGATTCTGCTGGGACTATAAAGTTATCGCCATAAACGACATATCGAGTTATACGAGTTCGAGTTAATGGGTATTCACTGTAAATAAACCCACGAGACTTCAGAACTGAGCTTCAGAAATGATGGCTGACTTTGGCACGAACGTTTTGTCTCATCTACAAACATATACGAACAATTATCGAACAATTATCAGCACATCCTTACATGCTTCCCAGATATACGTCTGGGAAAACGTCAAGAAGAGAGCATTACATATTTCCATGTTAAATATTTGAAATCGTAACCTGTATTTATTTTCTGACGGAACACATTTGCTTCTGTTCACCAGATGACATTCTAAAAATGCAGAAACTAAAAATCTGTCATATTATGACATCTTATGTAACAGCCATGGGACGAGTTATTCTTTCAATTACTTACGCTGCTTCTTTTCACCATATGTGTCTCAGTTCGTGTCATCATCTCGAGAAACATATTTCCTGTGAGGTGGTAGAGGGTTAGCAGTCACAATACGATCTCTTCCTACGGGTATCCATTCACTGCTGGATGAACAGAGGCCAATTCGTTAAGACGCTCGGCTAAGGAGTCACCACATGTAACTTGTGCTTCAATGTTGAGCAAAACCGAAGCACCAGAAAATCTCGGGAGTTTAGCTGCCGAAGACTGTCACCCATCAATCAACCCCAGCGGCTTAACGTCGCTTCATTTGTGATCCGTGCGTTGTCACCGGACCACGTGCACATACCAGCAGGTGTCATTGGTATGTAAGATATTTCTCAAAATGGAATCAATTTCACATGTAGATATGTCCATGGAAGTAGAAAATATGAAAATAAATAAGAGTCGGTGCTTAACTTTTTTCTAGGTATATCCGTAACCATGTACCAGGCTGCTGTACAATACAAAACAATAAAAGTCAACACTAAAACGACATTTATACGGCCATGAAGGCCCAGTGTGTATTTTACTTTGACGGTTATGTTTGTGTTTTCATCCAGATACTCCCGTCTGTAATAGACCCTCCTCCTCCAGCGCCATACAACCGACACGTCGAGACACTGTCCAGGTGGGAGAAGTAAACACAATCAAACAGGTAGACGCACAGGTGTGTACAGGTGTGTCTAGTAGTGTTGGTGAATTCGTGTTTCAGACTGACGTCAGTCGTCGTGGTGAAGACCGGAGAAAAACCTATGTTCACATCCGAGCAGTTTGTATGGAACGACATTATCCATGACTGAAAATCACAGCTGTTACTATCGCCATTGCAGCTGATAGCATCACCGTTGTCGTTGGTACCATTAACGTTGCCATTGGTACCATTAACGTTGCCATTGGTACCATTAACGTTGCCATTGGTACCATTAACGTTGTCGTTGGTACCATTAACGTTGCCATTGGTACCATTCACGTTGCCATTATTACCGTTGTCGTTGGTACTATTAACGTTGCCGTTGGTACCATTAACGTTCCCATTGGTACCATTACCGTTGCCATTGTTACTGTTGCCGCTATTACCGTTACCGTTGCCATTGTTACTATTGCCGTTGCCATTATTACCGTTACCGTTGCCGTTATTACCATTATCGTTGCCATTATTACCATTACTGTTGCCGTTATTACCGTTGCCATTGTTACCATTACCGTTGCCGTTATTACCGTTACCGTTACCATTGCCGTTGCCATTGTTACTATTGCCGTTGCCGTTATTACCATTACCGTTGCCATTATTACCGTTACCGTTACCATTGTTACCATTGCCGTTGCCATTATTACCATTACCGTTGCCATTGTTCCCATTTCCGTTGCCGTTATTACCCTTCACATCAGACACTGAAAATAAAAAAAACTTATATTTAACACATATTTAAAACCAGCCATCTAGCCAACGAATAAGTATCACATATTTGAATAAGCCTCTCGCTACGACAGACCGAACATAGGTGTCTTAAGATACAATTAATTGTTCAGGATATTACTGGGACATATTGTGGGCTCAGGTTTTACAACAAAAATATACTCTTCAAAAAAAGGAACGCACAGGTAGTATGTAGTACATTGAACCTGACTACACTAAAAAACAGTATATAAATTCGATAAATGTTACTGGAAAATGTTGGTGGCCTGATTTTCGACAAACGGTGCTTCAAAACGCAGCCACTGTCGATTTGCAATGTCTTAAACGGCATTGTTTTCACACATTGTTTTCAAAAATGTCATGGAGGAAAACAGTAAAGCAAAATGCACGTGCAAGTTATGGCATTCGTAACTCGTGGTAGTGGCTATAAAAAGGCCAGCATAAGTCATAATTTGTCATTCAATTGTCAACATTTTTCAAGTTCGAAAATGCCGAGACTCAGCCTAGCTAATCGGAACATCGCCACAGGACGTATCCAAAGAGGGGAATCGCAATCTTCTGTTGCACGCCACTTCAACGTCCACCACAGCGATACACACAGTTCAGTTCCACTGCAGACCGTCCGACAACCGGCCGACCAAGCGTTACCACCCCTGCACAGGATCGCTACATTCGACTGTTCCACCTACGGCATCGCAATGCCACAGCTACAGCGACTGCGGGACTCATCCCTTGTTTGAGGAGGATATCGGACCAGACTGTCAGGAACCATCTTCGCGAAGCTGGAATCTGACCCAGAAGACCAGTTATTGTACCTGTTTTGCAACAGATCCATCTATAACGATGCTTGCGTTGGTGCCATACCTTACAGCCTTGGAATTTGAGAAACTGGAGACGAGTCTGGTTTAGCGATGAATCACGATTTCTTCTCCACCGGCGAGCTGGAAGACAACGTGTTTACCGTCGTCGAAATAAGCGTTTTGCCCCACATTGTATACGTGAATTCGACGATTTCGGTGGCGGTAGTGTCATGGTGTGTGTGTGTGTGTGTGTGTGTGTGTGTGTGTGTAGGGGGGGCGGCATATCCTACACCACGAGATCTGACTTGTTTTTCTGGGAAATTTGACAGCAAATCGCAACATGTATCAAATTCTTTAACCTCGCCTTCTTCCAATCATTGACCGCCAGAGGGAGCTGAGTCAACAAGGCAACGTTCCACCGCACACACCTCGTGTCACGTTAGACTACCTTCATAATCAATATCAACGTCTTGCCATGGCAGTCGAGATCTCAAGATCTCAACCCAATCGAACACCTCTCGGATGAACTCGATCGACGTGTACGTCAACGTCAGAACACGCCGCAGACACTCCCACAACTGGCAACGGCGTTACAAGCAGAATGGCGCAGAATTCCGCAGGACAGAATTCGTACACTTATCCAGTTAGTGCCGAGGAGTTCAGCGCAAACTTGTGGCCTTTTGTGACAGAACAATTAACAGTTTTCAATGCCTTTGTACAACGACAACCTGTAACTATCGAGCTCCAAAATTTCATGTTTGTATCTATGATATAAAATTAAATATATCGACTTTATTAGGTGCAATATATTTACTAAAAATCTACCTGTGCGTTTCTTTTTTTTTTTGGAAGAGTGTATATCCACTAGACGTGATGGATATCATGACCCGTGAAGATCCGGGGTAAGATAGGTCTTCAGCAACCCATGCTTGCCGTAAAAGGCCACTATGCTTGTCGTAAGAGGCGACAAACGAGATCGGGCGATCAGCCTCGCTGACTTGGCTTATGCATGTCATCGTATCCCAATTGCTTTGATCGATGCTCACGGTATCAATCACTGGATTGTCTGGTTTAGACTCGATTATTAACAGACCGCCGTCATACAGCTGGAATATTGCTGAGTGCGGCGATAAACAACAACCAAACAAACAAACATGAAAACGGTTGTGTTACGGTTCCCAAAATTGTTTGACTCCTCGATTAAAAGGACAAAATATTTCATGGACGATCCCTGAGAAATCAAATGAAAGGTAAATGCATATAGCATATAAAACATCTGTAAGAGGACACAGGAAAAACAAAGCTAAGAATATATGTGTCCTTTTGATATGCAAAGGCGCAAAAAATATCCTACACAGGGCATGGGAAATACGAAACTATAACTAGGTCAGAGGACACAATCAATTATGTAAAATCTGCATATGATATATATGAAAAATGGACACCCACTTGACATAAAGGCCGGCCATACGTAGATGACAAAAGGTCATCCATTTTAATAAGAAATGCAAGGTCATATGCTTGTTTGTTTATTTGTTGTTTAACGCCGCACTCAGCAATATTCCAGTCTGTAAATAATCGAGGCTGGACCAGACAATCCAGTGATTGATATCATGACTAACGATCCACGCAAATGGGATACAATGGTATGCATCAACCAAGTCAGCGAGCCTGACCACTCGATCCCGTTAGTCGCCTCTTACGACAAGCATAGTGGCCTTTTACGGCAAGCATGGGTTGCTGAAGACCTATTCTACCCCGGATCTTCACGGGTCAGGTCATATGCACATGATGTAGTTCAAATGTAGTTGTCAAATATTGTCTATTAGGGATGCAAGACCAAGTGTAAATGAAATCAGGTCATCTAATGAGTCAGAAATACAAGGCCAAATGTAGATGACAAAAGGTCACCTGTTGGACTTAAGGAGAACAAGGTCATACGTAGATGATAAAACGTCATCTATTGGGAATATTATACAAGGTCATACGTAGATGATAAAACGTCATCTACTGGGAATATTATACAAGGTCATACGTAGATGATAAAACGTCATCTACTGGGAATATTATACAAGGTCATACGTAGATGATAAAACGTCATCTATTTGGAATATGATACAAGGTCATACGTAGATGATAAAACGTCATCTATTGGGGATATGATACAAGGTCATACGTAGATGATAAAACGTCATCTATTGGGAATATGATACAAGGTCATACGTAGATGATAAAACGTCATCTATTTGGAATATGATACAAGGTCATACGTAGATGATAAAACGTCATCTATTTGGAATATCATACAAGGTCATACGTAGATGATAAAACGTCATCTATTGGGAATATTATACAAGGTCATACGTAGATGATAAAACGTCATATATTGGGGATATGATACAAGGCCATACATAGATGATAAAACGTCATCTACTGGGAATATTATACAAGGTCATACGTAGATGATAAAACGTCATCTATTTGGAATATGATACAAGGTCATACGTAGATGATAAAACGTCATCTATTGGGGAAATTCTACAAGGTCATACGTTGATGATAAAACGTCATCTATCGGGAATATGATACAAAGTCATACGTAGATGATAAAACGTCATCTACTGGGAATATTATACAAGGTCATACGTAGATGATAAAACGTCATCTACTGGGAATAATATAAAAGGTCATACGTAGATGATAAAACGTCATCTACTGGGAATATTATACAAGGTCATACGTAGATGATAAAACGTCATCTATTGGGAATATGATACAAGGTCATACGTAGATGATAAAACGTCATCTATTGGGAATAATATACAAGGTCATACGTAGATGATAAAACGTCATCTACTGGGAATATTATACAAGGTCATACGTAGATGATAAAACGTCATCTACTGGGAATAATATACAAGGTCATACGTAGATGATAAAACGTCATCTATTGGGAATATTATACAAGGTCATACGTAGATGATAAAACGTCATCTATTGGGAATATGATACAAGGTCATACGTAGATGATAAAACGTCATCTATTAGGAATATGATACAAGGTCATACGTAGATGATAAAACGTCATCTATTGGGAATTTGATACACGGTCATACGTAGATGATAAAACGTCATCTACTGGGAATATTATACAAGGTCATACGTAGATGATAAAACGTCATCTATTGGGGAAATTCTACAAGGTCATACGTTGATGATAAAACGTCATCTATTGGGGAAATTCTACAAGGTCATACGTTGATGATAAAACGTCATCTATTGGGGAAATTCTACAAGGTCATACGTTGATGATAAAACGTCATCTATTGGGGAAATTCTACAAGGTCATACGTTGATGATAAAACGACATCTATTGGGAATATGATACAAGGTCATACGTAGATGATAAAACGTCATCTATTTGGAATATGATACAAGGTCATACGTAGATGATAAAACGTCATCTATTGGGGATATGATACAAGGTCATACGTAGATGATAAAACGTCATCTATTGGGAATATGATACAAGGTCATACGTAGATGATAAAACGTCATCTATTTGGAATATGATACAAGGTCATACGTAGATGATAAAACGTCATCTATTTGGAATATCATACAAGGTCATACGTAGATGATAAAACGTCATCTATTGGGAATATTATACAAGGTCATACGTAGATGATAAAACGTCATCTATTGGGGAAATTCTACAAGGTCATACGTTGATGATAAAACGTCATCTATTGGGGAAATTCTACAAGGTCATACGTTGATGATAAAACGTCATCTATTGGGGAAATTCTACAAGGTCATACGTAGATGATAAAACGTCATCTATTGGGGAAATTCTACAAGGTCATACGTTGATGATAAAACGTCATCTATTGGGGAAATTCTACAAGGTCATACGTAGATGATAAAACGTCATCTATTGGGGAAATTCTACAAGGTCATACGTTGATGATAAAACGACATCTATTGGGAATATGATACAAGGTCATACGTAGATGATAAAACGTCATCTATTTGGAATATGATACAAGGTCATACGTAGATGATAAAACGTCATCTATTGGGGATATGATACAAGGTCATACGTAGATGATAAAACGTCATCTATTGGGAATATGATACAAGGTCATACGTAGATGATAAAACGTCATCTATTTGGAATATGATACAAGGTCATACGTAGATGATAAAACGTCATCTATTTGGAATATCATACAAGGTCATACGTAGATGATAAAACGTCATCTATTGGGAATATTATACAAGGTCATACGTAGATGATAAAACGTCATATATTGGGGATATGATACAAGGTCATACATAGATGATAAAACGTCATCTACTGGGAATATTATACAAGGTCATACGTAGATGATAAAACGTCATCTATTTGGAATATGATACAAGGTCATACGTAGATGATAAAACGTCATCTATTGGGGAAATTCTACAAGGTCATACGTTGATGATAAAACGTCATCTATCGGGAATATGATACAAAGTCATACGTAGATGATAAAACGTCATCTACTGGGAATATTATACAAGGTCATACGTAGATGATAAAACGTCATCTACTGGGAATAATATAAAAGGTCATACGTAGATGATAAAACGTCATCTACTGGGAATATTATACAAGGTCATACGTAGATGATAAAACGTCATCTATTGGGAATATGATACAAGGTCATACGTAGATGATAAAACGTCATCTATTGGGGAAATTCTACAAGGTCATACGTTGATGATAAAACGTCATCTATTGGGGACATTCTACAAGGTCATACGTAGATGATAAAACGTCATCTATTGGGGAAATTATACAAGGTCATACGTAGATGATAAAACGTCATCTATTGGGGAAATTCTACAAGGTCATACGTAGATGATAAAACGTCATCTATTGGGAATATGATACAAGGTCATACGTAGATGATAAAACGTCATCTACTGGGAATATTATACAAGGTCATACGTAGATGATAAAACGTCATCTATTGGGGAAATTCTACAAGGTCATACGTTGATGATAAAACGTCATCTATTGGGGAAATTCTACAAGGTCATACGTAGATGATAAAACGTCATCTATTGGGGAAATTCTACAAGGTCATACGTTGATGATAAAACGTCATCTATTGGGGAAATTCTACAAGGTCATACGTAGATGATAAAACGTCATCAATTGGGGAAATTCTACAAGGTCATACGTTGATGATAAAACGACATCTATTGGGAATATGATACAAGGTCATACGTAGATGATAAAACGTCATCTACTGGGAATATTATACAAGGTCATACGTAGATGATAAAACGTCATCTATTGGGAATAATATACAAGGTCATACGTAGATGATAAAACGTCATCTACTGGGAATATTATACAAGGTCATACGTAGATGATAAAACGTCATCTACTGGGAATAATATACAAGGTTATACGTAGATGATAAAACGTCATCTATTGGGAATATTATACAAGGTCATACGTAGATGATAAAACGTCATCTATTGGGAATATGATACAAGGTCATACGTAGATGATAAAACGTCATCTATTAGGAATATGATACAAGGTCATACGTAGATGATAAAACGTCATCTATTGGGAATTTGATACACGGTCATACGTAGATGATAAAACGTCATCTACTGGGAATATTATACAAGGTCATACGTAGATGATAAAACGTCATCTATTGGGGAAATTCTACAAGGTCATACGTTGATGATAAAACGTCATCTATTGGGGAAATTCTACAAGGTCATACGTAGATGATAAAACGTCATCTATTGGGGAAATTCTACAAGGTCATACGTTGATGATAAAACGTCATCTATTGGGGAAATTCTACAAGGTCATACGTAGATGATAAAACGTCATCTATTGGGGAAATTCTACAAGGTCATACGTTGATGATAAAACGACATCTATTGGGAATATGATACAAGGTCATACGTAGATGATAAAACGTCATCTACTGGGAATATTATACAAGGTCATACGTAGATGATAAACGTCATCTATTGGGAATAATATACAAGGTCATACGTAGATGATAAAACGTCATCTACTGGGAATATTATACAAGGTCATACGTAGATGATAAAACGTCATCTACTGGGAATAATATACAAGGTCATACGTAGATGATAAAACGTCATCTATTGGGAATATTATACAAGGTCATACGTAGATGATAAAACGTCATCTATTGGGAATATGATACAAGGTCATACGTAGATGATAAAACGTCATCTATTAGGAATATGATACAAGGTCATACGTAGATGATAAAACGTCATCTATTGGGAATTTGATACAAGGTCATACGTAGATGATAAAACGTCATCTATTGGGGAAATTCGACAAGGTCATACGTTGATGATAAAACGTCATCTTTTAGGGAATATAATACAAGGTCATACGTAGATGATAAAATGTCATCTACTGGGAAAATTATACAAGGTCATACGTAGATGATAAAAGGTCATCCATTTGGCACTAGGCCATATGAAGACCATAAAAAATTATATGTGTATGTTGCTATTATTGACATGGTTCAACGTCATACACAAACAGTCAGATATAGAACACCGTTTACCTCTTAGGGTGACAACTATCACGGCGACACCGACCAGGAGATGTAGGTAACCCATGACTTGTCTGTCGGTTCTTCACGGTCTTCTTCACTAAAGTAATTCTTCACAGAGTTGCTATGTCATTCCTCGTCAGTTCGAAAGTTCCATTTCACAATAGAGCCAAAACAACTTACCAGCGTCAGATCATATGATGTTTGGATAGAACGCCAGTGTGAATCTTCGACGGGGTCTCGTGTGGATGTAAGCACATTTGTACTTGGCTCCTGTCAACTGGTGGATCAAATACACACCACAGGTGCTGTTTTCACCGATGTACGGTTTAAGAATTCCAGTGTTCTAGTCTTAAAGTTATCATGGATCACAAAACTAGTTTTGTTATTCAAATCAGGCTCAGGCGGTAAATACCTTTTTTAGTTTTGTCCACAAATCAGAACTGCATTCTACATGTTTATGTGAGTGTATCCCACAAGTTTGTATCTAACAGGGAGGTTCCATATAACACACTGGTCCAGTCTTTCACACAGAGGTTACCTTTACAACACGGGCGCTTCGTAAATAACACACTGGGCTCGCCTTTAACACTGATGTTTCGTAAACAACAGATGGGTAATCTTTAACACGAAGAGTCCGTATATCACACAGGGTCCGCCTTAACTACAAAGAGTCTTGTTCTATATATAATTTACATCGGATGCGTCTCTAAAACATAAATTCTGTACATTAACCTATAGAACTACCTTCAACACAATGATTTTCATATTCAACAGACTGAGTCCGTCTTTGAGGCAATGATTCTGTATGAACACACCGGGCCTTTCAACAGAGTTTCCGTATACGAAACACCGGGCCTTTCAACACAGAGTTTCGTATACGACACACCGGGCCTTTCAACACAGAGTTTCCGTATACGACACACCGGGCCTTTCAACACAGAGTTTTCGTATACGACACACCGGGCCTTTCAACACAGAGTTTTCGTATACGACACACCGGGCCTTTCAACACAGAGTTTCCGTATACGACACACCGGGCCTTTCAACACAGAATTTCCGTATACGACACACCGGGCTTTTCAACACAGAGATTCCGTATAGGACACACCGGGCCTTTCAACACAGAGTTTCCGTATACGACACACCGGGCCTTTCAACACAGAGATTCCGTATACGACACACCGGGCCTTTCAAAACAGAGATTCCGTATACGACACACCGGGCCTTTCAACACAGAGATTCCGTATACAGAGTTTGCATATTGTCCCTACTGTTACCTCCCGCGTATCCATGCATGTTAGTACGGTGCACAGAGACCGACACAAGCTAGAGGACAATCAATCATCAGTGAAAAGGAACAGACACGGTAAGCCTTATATGTTGTTAGACTTATATTGTGGTTACCACCTTCCGGTTCCTGCTCATTGAACAATGCAACTTCTGTCTGACTTCAACAATGGCAAGATGTTTCTTGGCTGTCGCCTAGATAGCTCAAATCATATTGATTATGTTCATTTTAGCGTGTTGCATAAACGACGATGTTGCAGGTGCTTGCTTTTCAATTAAACTTAAAGGCAGATGACCTCTTTTTTAGTGTGACTGAGTTGGGCCTAACGCTCTTTATAAAATCGTTCAGTCATATTATTGCGCATCAGCTTAATGTGTGGGTGTTCATTTCACATGAAACCAACGGCGAAATCTGGGATTCGAAACTGGTTTGCTGGTTTGACTGAGGGAGTCTCCCTAATTTATGTACTTCCACAGCTACACGTGATCTCATACACACATTCTCTATGGTTTGGACGGACTGAATAGGACCTTTACCATTGGCCTGTAGGATGTTTCAAAGTGTATGCCACAGCCTCCACGATCTCGTGATTAGAGCGTCTGCTGTGAGAGGGTGTGCTTGCTTCACGTATTGTAAACATTGGAACTTTCTGTGTTTCATAAACGTCCTGGTGAAGTAGCCATCGCGCCTCCGTGGTGTAGTGGGTAGAACTTTGGCCTGGAGGGCGGTAGGTCGGCGATTTGAATCCCCGATAGCGCCATGACAAAAGGCGTTAGACGATGGTACTTGTTGTTACCCTGCCCGAAGCTTGGCATTAAGGGGATAAAACAAAGACTGGTCGGCTCGGAGTCAGTATAGGTAAAGTGAGGTAAAACTGTGGCATGGTATCTCAGTGGGTAAAACTGTGGCATTGTATCTCAGTAGGTAAAACTGTGGCATGGTATCTCAGTGGGTAAAACTGTGGCATGGTATCTCAGTAGGTAAAACTGTGGCATGGTATCTCAGTGGGTAAATCTGTGGCATGGTATCTCAGTGGGTAAAACTGTGGCATGGTATCTCAGTGGGTAAAACTGTGGCATGGTATCTCAGTGGGTAAAACTGTGGCATGGTATCTCAGTGGGTAAATTGTGGCATGGTATCTCAGTGGGTAAATTGTTGCATGGTATCTTAGTGGGTAAAACTGTAGCATGGTATCTCGGTGGGTCAAACTGTGGCATGGTATCTCAGTGGGTAAATTGTGGCATGGTATCTCAGTGGGTAAATTGTTGCATGATATATCAGTGGGTAAAATTGTGGCATGGTATCTCAGTGGGTAAAACTGTGGCATGGTATCTCAGTAGGTAAACCTGTTGCATGGTATCTCAGTGGGTAAATTGTTGCATGGTATCTCAGTGGATAAATTGTTGCATGGTATCTCAGTGGATAAATTGTTGCATGGTATCTCAGTGGGTAAATTGTTGCATGGTATTTCAGTGGGTAAATTGTTGCATGGTATCTCAGTGGGTAAATTGTTGCATGGTATCTCAGTGGGTAAAATGTGGCATGGTATCTCGGTGGGTAAATTGTGGCAAGGTATCTCAGTGGGTAACTGTGGCATGGTATCTCAGTGGGTAAATTGTGGCATGGTATCTCAGTGGGTAAATTGTGGCATGGTATCTCAGTGGGTAAAACTGTGGCATGGTATCTCAGTGGGTAAATTGTTGCATGGTATCTCAGTGGGTAAATTGTGGCATGGTATCTCAGTGGGTAAATTGTTGCATGGTATCTCAGTAGGTAAAACTGTGGCATGGTATCTCAGTGGGTAAGTTGTGGCATGGTATCTCAGTGGGTGAAACTGTGGCATGGTATCTCAGTGGGACATATGACCAGTGAACATCCGGGGTAGTATAGGTCTTCAGCAACCCATGCAGGCCGAAAGAGACGACTAACGGGATCGGGTGGTCAGGCCCGCTGACTTTGTTGACGCATGTCATTGCATCCCAATTGCGTGGATCGGTGCTCATGATGTCAATCACGTGATTGTCAGGTCCAGACTCGAATATATACAGACCGCCGTCATATAGCTTGAACATTGCTTAGTGCGGCGTTGAACAACAAACAAACAAATCAGTGGGACATAGCATAAAAAACTCTTGAAAGCTTTACTTGGGCCTAGAATGTTGTAACCCTCATCAAACAACTCTTTAAGCAAGAGTCTTATGACGCTCTTTAAATTCTTGGGAGAAAGGGCAGGCTCGATTGTACCTCAAAGGTTGGGAAATGTACACACCAAAGACTGACACCACAGCAGCTGCTGGAGTATTGCTCGACATAAAGGGAAGGTTAACTGTTGGAAAGCTGAAGTCATCTCTCTTGACGCGCCGCCTTGTGGAGAGTGTTATGTCACTCTGAATCCTAATGCAAAAATCTAAAAATGAAACAGATGAGGCGGTTTCAACGGTGTCTTTCATTCATAGTGAAAGGTGGATAAACCATTGGAAGGGGGTGACACTTCTAAGCCAAGTTTGTTGCTCAACGCCACAAACAGGACATTTCCAGGAGTATGATTTGTTTGTTTGCTTGTTTGTTGTTTAACGCCGCTCTCAGCAATATTCCAGCTATATGACGGCGGTCTGTAAATGTTCGAGTATGGACCAGACAATCCAGTGATCGACATGAGCATCGATCCACGCAATCGGGATACGATGACATGCATCAACCAAATCAGCAAGCCTGACCACCCACCCACCCACCCCACCCCCCACCACCCACAACCACCCCCACCCCAATCCCCACCCCCATCCCCACCCCCGACTGGCTACGGCGGTGTATTGTTCAAAACGCCATCAATGTTAAACCCAACTCACGAGATGGGTATGATGTATATGCCAGAAATGAATATTCAGGTTCAACCAAGTATGTTGAATATGTGTATTCAAAGCTACAACACATGTCAGTACATAACAATACATGTGATTATGGAACTAAAAGCCTCTCTCAGGCTTGCAGACAAATCACTTCTTTCTTGTTTAAAGTTCAAAGAAAGAAAGAAAGACAATGCAGTAAACAATACAATGCAATGTCATTCCATATATTGAAAAACCCACTCGATGAATGTCATCAATGGTCTCTGTAGAGCTTCTGTTATATTATAAGCACTTACCACAACGCTGTTTAAAATGAATATTGCTTTGCCGTTTGAGTGTAAGGACCATTAAAGTTTTCTTTGTCTCCATACCCAAACTCGAAGGCAAGTATTGATTCAAAGCACAATGGCTATTCTCAAACATCAATGCGTCGACACTCCTTCAACGCTTTTATAATGGTTCTGAGAATGTTGAAGACATGTGGACAAAGAGACACTATCTCACTGTTTAAATAGGCCGAATAGCAGATTCAAGATTCTGCAATTACCAAATGAATCGTCAGATCTTAATGGTGAATGGATCAGGCACCTTTGGCGTAGAAACCTCTCCAAACTCTCATAAATAAGATATTGGCTGAATCTGACATGAAAAAGGAATGAGTTCATCAAGTACACGCAATTACATGTAAGTAGGAATGTACGTACCTGAATGTCGACCTGTAACAATCCCCTATATCTACACTGCACCTGCTCACTGACCTAGAAACTAATAGCGACTAGGATTATATTGTCTTCACATTACGGAACAGATGAGTTGTTTTTCTTGTTAATAATTACGGGAACTTAGGTCAATCAATATTATTTCTACATTTCCAAATTCACGATATAATATTTGACGAGCTACTTGCTCTTTATATGCCGTATCTACTTCCAACTGACCTGTATTGAGAGAGTCCTGGGTGGCATAGCATAGCAGTTAAAAGTGAGAGTTTTCTCGTCAAGCGGAAGACCCAAGTTTGATTTCCATATGGGTGCAATACGGAAAGCCAAATGTCCAAATGTTGGTGTCCTTGGTTGGGATATTGCTTTGCTACAACTAACAGTGGCAGACCCTACCTACCCAGTCACCCTCGAGAGTGTTTGCGTCTGTAGGGATGCCAGTTAACACGTCCTTCTTTGTTTTTTTTGTTTTTGTTTTTTTTGGGGGGTGGGGTTTGTTTTTTTGTTTTTTTGTTTTGTTGTTGTTTGTTTGTTTCGTGTGTTTGGGGGTTGTTGTTTGTTTTCTTTTGGGTTTTTTTGGGGGGGATATTGATTCCAAAACATATTACAGCAGTCTCCGACATAACTACCTGCCTGCCCGCCCTCGGCTGGTAACTTTTCTGTCGAACTGCATGAAATATTCCTCCACCTGCCCGACTGTTTGACAGATAATTGACTCAAGAAATTGTTTGTATTATTTAAACTGAATCAAGACGTGATTTGTCTCATTTTTCGATTTTTTTGCAATATTTATATTGTCCGAATACAGGCAGGTAACTTTGAAGATGAGCAGACAACACTTTTGGGGCACCTGACCTACTGTCTTGTTGGGTATTAACATTTATTTCAAACACTGTCCATCATAAAAATGCGTGCTAAATAATTATTATTCTATTACTTAATATGGAATTCATTAGTGAAGATGGATGTTGAATGAACAATGATTATACTTCCATCGTTTTTTAATCCATATCGCAAGATAATGCAGCCGATTTATCTTTAAATAGTTTATCTTCGCCATTTATGTATTTTTCAATTATTCATTTAACTCTAAAAGTGTCTAATAAATGGTTGAAATTCAACTTGGGCACAGTACATTTTCAATTATATATGAACTGCTTAGTAAAAGAGAATACGTGATTTAGTAGTATATCTAGGTTCGGAAGAAAAAATAATATACGATTCAAATCTAAAAGATGATCAGTTTTAGATGTATACCAACGTACAACTCCCTGAAATAGTGTTTGCACCTTTTCACAAATAAAACAAATATATGTTCTGGTGTTTCTGCTTCTCTCTGACAAGAAGTACTATAGTTATTTGTCATTCTTCTTTGTAATAGGTGTCCATCTGTAACAAAAGGTAGACAGACAAGCAAATTGACTTTTTTCACACGTCAGTATAATAAAACATTGAAGAAAACCCTCATTAATCCGCGGCCGTCCCCTGTGAATTCCCTCAAAGGGGCTGTCAAT